ATTACAGATCATCTCAGGAGTATGTGGTTGGTAACACTTTCCCTCTAATGTTACTGAAGTAACACTTATCTCCCTCGTTACTAAGTTTGCTGATTCGGCATTGTTTTTTTATGCATTTATAATTTTTGTGTATTTTCTTTCGATAATACTCCTTCAAGCTTCATCCATCTTGTAAGAGATAATACAGAATATATTGTCTTCGCACAAATTTTCAAAACCAAATTCACAATAGAGAAACATATTGAAGCAAAAAGTATTCATAAAACTTATTTATTACATTTATAATTTTTATTAAACTTATGAGACGAGTCTTCTGGTTCACAATCTCATTTAAGCTATGAGACGAGTCTTATGGCTCCCAATCACGTTTGAATTATGAGATGAGTCTTCTGGCTCTCAATCTCATTTGAGCTATGCGACTAGACTTCTGACTTCCTATATCATTTGAGCTATGACACGAGTCTTCTGGCTCAAAACCTCATTTATTTCTTTGTTTGTACTCATTTATATCCCATGGATAAATTCAAGGAGGTGTAGGAACTACTGATCTCTACCTCTTTATTTTATCAATGAATCAAACTCAGATCGGATTGATTTTCTAATGTCGGCTCCACGTCATCCATTTGTTTACACTTATTAATTGATCGAGATTTTATCTCATCACTCAATATAAGTACAATATATACTGCGCAAGCAAGTATGTCATCGATGATAATTTTAGTTCGATACCACATCTCATTCATGCATGAATAACTAACCAAGATTTTTCTATTCTCGAAAATGCATATTGACGTCGAGGCATTCCCCGACTTCGTCTCCTGGACGAATCCATATTCCATAGTTATTTCATGAGATGGATTAGGTGGGATCCCATTGGTTCCAGGGCTAACAAGATTCCATTGTTGGGTTTATCCACTTTCGGGTGTGAGAATTCTTTGATTCCATTTCTCTCCCTCTCTTTTGGGCAGGGAGGCAAGACCGGGTAGCATGGATTGGTGGCCTACCCCTAGGACCTCTATCCTTGCAGGCTTACTTGAGATATCGTCATTTTTTTTTTAAATCAGAGAACGAATCTGACATTATTCGTTACACACGATTTCATGTTGTTCTTCGGGAACATTAGTATGGTTGTTCTTTGCATATTTATTAATCGTCCCACACGACTTTACGCAGTACTTCGAGAACGCTAGTGTGGACGTTACATGCAGATCTATATGGTCATCCTACATGACTTCATGCTGTTCTTTAGGAATGTTAGTTTGGATGCTCTATTAATTCATATATCAATTCTCTAATTTAGAGGATCTTGACTTTACGCCATTCTTCAGGAACGTTAGTCTGGATGTTCTTTCGTCCCTCTAACTGCGGGAAGACGGTCTCATCGAAGTGACAGTCCGCAATATGAGCTGTAAAGAATCGCCTATCTAAGGTTTTAAATATTTGTTATAGATGGTGATACATAGTCCACATCATGGTTATCTGATCGTAAATATCTCGTATTGTTTTGCTCCACATCTTGTACCGTATCGTTTACCATGAGATATTTAACCATCTACTAAAATGGTTTATATATATATATATATATATATATATATATATATATATATATATATATATATATATATATATATATATATATATATATATATATATATATATATGTGTGTGTGTGTGTGTGTGTGTGTGTGTGTGTGTGTGTGTGTGTGTATATAACACTCTCACACCCATTTTTTTCGCTTATTCTCTCACGTCTATATATATTAATATCCATCTTTTCACTCTCGCACCCCCACTTTCCCTCATGAAGATTAATTCTACCTCATCCTTCCTCTTCCAGCGTTTGTCTGCGTCTGTATGTATCTCTATCTCTCTCTCTCTCTCAACCTTAATCTCGCTCATGCTCGTTCTCTCTCGCTCACTCTCACACACGCACATATATATATATATATATATATATATATATATATATATATATATATATATATATATATATATATATATATATATATATATATATATATAT